GTAGTGCTAAGTACACTGCTTTCAGTTCGAGCCGGTTGATATGGTCATCCCGAAACTAATGCGGGGGTCATATCCTTGGGCTTGTTCGTCCAATAGATGCGCTCCCCAACCTTGGGAGGTGGCATCTGTTACCACAGTCATACCTGTGGAGAGTGGGACCACCAGGGCAGGGCTTCCTTCACTTGGTCGGAGATCAAAACCCACCTATCGAGTTCCCATAGGAGAGCTCGGCGTTATAACAAGCGTTATATCGGGTGGCTGCATGGTGTGGCCTGGGAAACGTCCTTTTGAACTGAGGTCATCATTCCGATGATTCACATTAGTTCTTGAAGGGACACTGAGGGAACGCTGACTAGGTATTGGGATAGGCTGCTTAGCGCTAAGCAATACGCTTGAAATAGCTAAGCCAAGCTTACCTCTGTGTCAAAACTCCATGCCCAGGGACACCAACTGTGCATTGGGTTGAGATGGGAATTGTAGATTTACTAACGAGCCCAACCGAATGACGGGCACCCGAAATTTGAATACTTGGGCCAGCTGGGCAATTCGAAGGAGATGGCAACTTGCTGGGTGTATCGGTATGTGCAGGTAGGCCCCGCTTAAGTCTTGTGGGGCAAGCCAGTCGAAACAGTGGATGGAGAGAAGAACCCGAATGGCATCTCCATGTGGATCCGATTGAGGAGCCTGGAACTGGATGCACTTGTAGATTTGGTACTACAAACACATTTGGGTAGAAGCCTGGACTTAGTTCCGGCTGATCTACCCTGTGTATGGCGCCTTTTCCCAGCAAACTGCTACTTTCTGCCTGATTGCAGGAGTCCCCTGGTGGTGCCCAATAGGGGAGACACTGACAGGGGAGATGGAGATTTCAGTGGTATCCCATAACAGGATGTCACCACCTGGAAAGATCCAGGGATCGGTCACTCACTGTCTCCAAACTGGACTACACCTGCGCAATCTTTGTACGACAGGGATATGTGGCCATGGTTCGGCAGTTGTGAGGGGGGTGCTCTCTTATCCCATGAGGTGAGTTCCCCAAGGCCTGAAGTAGTCACTCAGTTGTGACCTGGCCACTCGCCGAACACATGCCTGTCCTCCCAATTGCAGAGGTAAGCGTCAAAACATGCTTCCTCCGCTGCTGGGGTAGACGATCGCCTGAGGAGGGTAAGGAGTCACCACCTGGCTCCTTCCTCCCTGGGGGTGCGCCACTACTCTTCCCTCCCGTGGAAGGGTATGAGCGCTTGCCTCCTGGCTGACTCTGGCTAGCGGACGACATCCCAGAGCGTTGTGTATTCTGTGCTTGGGGTGCCCTTCGCTTACCCCTGGCAGGGCCAACTGGCTAGCGGATTCGATCTGAAATTTCTGGTTCTGGTTGTACCCACCAATTCATGAAAGAAGAGGGTCGAATATGTCCAGTCTGCGTCACTGAGGTGGGGGATGTACCCCTGACTCAGCTTTCCGGCAAAACACACGCGTCTACGGCTGTGTCTCATTGCGCAGTAGTGGCCCCGGCCAAGAGAGCTAGGTGACACTAGGGGATGTCGCACTTAGATGTGCGGTGGCCCACCAGTAAATGTGTCGCCTGGTCTAGGACATGAGCGAACTGTGTCTCTTTTCACTTTAAATATGTGAGAGAGAGCGTGTTCGACTGTGCGTCTCATGACAGGGTCGGTTCCTTCTGGGGACGCCCGTGGGTCGGTAAGAAGGGAGTCAAAACCCACAGTGGACACAAGGATAAATTCGTTACCGTTGTACCATTACCACACGACAAACCTTGGCTGGCTGAAAGTAGGGGGGTCAAGGTGTGCCCTGCCCTGAAAGCCCTGCCCCAAGATCGAAGACTTGGCTGCCAGCACCCCATTGGCATTCAGTGCCCGAGGCTCCAGAGGAGGCCCGGTGCAATTAGCCTGAGCCTCGGCCTCACCCAAAATAGTGGGAGAGCCGCAGATGGGAATAGGGGTTCCCTGGAAGAGACGTGTTTGAATGCAAACATGCTTTCGTGTTTCTTCCTGCTTGCCCACCGGGGCCCACAATGAAGACAGCTTGCTCCGACTGCGACTGATCTACCCGGTCCTGATCTACCCGGTCTGCCAGGGACGCAATTGTCCCGACAATCCTTCAACCAAAGCCCTCAACTCTGAGGCAAACCCGACACCATGTGAGAAATAATCTACAAAGGGACCAGTGGGCCCCCTAGGAGGAAAAAACCTCAAGGGGCACAGCCTTGCTGTAGCCGTTAAAATCGGGTAAACCACCGCCTGAAAACACAGACTGTGAGGATGCCCTCCGATCAGTGGGGGGGGGGTCGAAAAAATATTGGTACTTCCACTGTCGGGCCTCCTCCTCGACGTCCCGGTACGCGAAGCACCGGTAGCTGAGTGTGAGGACTTTCCACTCATGCCAAACACACAACTCACTTTAACCAATTTTTACTGGACGTGGTCAGTCTCAGCGATTTTGATGGCTCTGAAAAAATATCTCAGGCCTCAGAACTCCAGTGAAAAACACACGCCTTCAAGGCAAAGACCCCGAACCTTGCACACAGTCAGGGCAAAAAGCAGCAGTGATTCATGGAGCTGTCATAACATCTATTCATTTCTAAATACGTAGATCAAGCATAAAATGAAGATGACATGCATGAGGGAAGCGAATGTGATGTAACGCAAGTAACAAGTGATTAAGTTTTATTGCTTTGTTGTGAAAAATGCTACACACAAAGGGGAAAACGACACAAGGGTAAAAATGACTTATCCTACTAGCTACAATGCCGCCCAGCGGCAACAACCCAGACAGGAAAAAAGCAAGCGATCCAGGCAGAGCCCCGCTAGATTTCATCTCCAATCGAGGCGGGGAAGAAATCAGAGTGATTAGCCTGCCGTATTGGCGCCACCATATGGCCTCGGCCACGTGGGTTCGTGGCGTAAGGAAAAAGAATCTTAGGGTCATGGGGCTTCCCCTGACTTAAATTCTATCTCTCCGTCATTGGCCGATTAATGCCTACTGTTCAAAATAGTCATTTTGACTGACTGGAGTCTATGGTGGGTAATTGAACGTAGTGAATTGAACAATGCCAAATGACATGCTATTAGAAAACATTCTAATTAGGCAGAAGTATTTTGCTCATTGTTTGACCTTCTTTTTGTAGTCCTTTTTAGTGCATTTCTAAACAGTCTGACAATGCTTGAAATCAAGTCAACTGATCTTTGATAAACCCTGGGAGTTTAGACTTTGCTGGCTACCAGAAACAATAAAAACATTGATCGAAAACTCTCAAAAAATTAATGTACTTTGGGATAGTTGTTGAGACTCTCCTGAACAGTGTAACAAGATTACCCCTGCGTGTGCAACATAGATAATTTGGTTGTTCAGGATTGTAATATAGTTTAGTTTGTGCTGTTTTCTTGACTTTAGCTGTTTTCACAGCAGCTCGTACAGAAATACATGGTACAGTGGTGCACGTCTTAGCAACATAGAACGTTTTGACGTAGCCCTGCCCCTAGAATAAGAAGACAAGGAACAGACAAACAGAAACTATGGTAACTCAACTTTATTTCCCTATATAAGAGTTACTATATAAACAATAATCCCATAGAACTTGGAATTTTTTTTTCAAAACAAATACATCTCATCAAACTACAGATGTGCTGTATTTCCTTTAATTTTTTGAATTCATATATTTTTTTCCCAGCATAATTTGGAGCAACATTTATCACATCTTAATTCATTTTTTTTAATTTCTTTGTTAAGTTTGGACCAAATGCAAACAATTTTACCATTGAATGATAATCTTGATCAAATTTGTTTGACGAAAAACAATTTGAATAGATTTATTTTGTGAACAAAAATATTAAAAAGTTGATTTTTGTGTTCAAAACGATTATGGAACCATACTGGTACATGAATGCCAAAGTGTGATTACAGTAGAAATGTAATTTTAGAATCAAAACTTTCAGGGTACTAGAAAAAAAATGTACCTAATGAATACTCCACAATATTGTTAAATGTTCCGATTACGAGATCATATTAAAAAGGGAACTGACATAATCAGAACACGCAGTACAGGGTGGGAAACAGATAAAATGTGGAAAACAAACATCAACAAAAAAAGACAATTTCAATTGGTTGCCAGAAAACTTAATCCAATATGGCTGTCTGAAATTCAACACCATAACAGTAATATTACTTTTTTAGTTTTTGTTTAATTTTCTGTCTATAAAATCAAATATTTTCACGAATAATTAATGAAGTCATAATGCTTAATAATGTTATTGGAAACAAACACTACTGAATGCGTGTGACCACTATTAACTTATAATCAGAGAATCATATCTGAATCCAATATGGCTGCCAAAAATTCAAAATTTTAAAATCTCAAACACACCAGTCATAAAATAAATCTCCATGATTTTTTTTCCACAAAATTTCGATCAACACATTTCCACAATTAACAATTTTGTCAATTTGATCAAAAATTCACAAAGAAATTTGATAAAAACACATAAAAAAATATGCGAAATATTGCAACATAATTTTGGAAGGGAAAAAAATGCATTCAAATGGATTGAACAATGCGTTTAGGACTGCTAATTTTCACAAACCAGTAACCAGAATTCTGCTAAACACCAATGAAATAATGCTATAGAAATTTTTTAGAAAAATTTTAATAATAGTCCTCAGAAGTGTTGATCTAGCTATTAACATCTTAAAGATGCAATATGGACAAAGACATGTAATATTTAATATATTGTTTTCCTAATACTGTATATTATAAGGTTATTATGAGAATACCTCAAAGTATGCACAAAGACAGTGCAGCTGCAGTATCGACCGACGTGCAGCGGAGGTCGATGCATGCCCAACTGTCTGAACGCAAACTTTGAGATATTCTCGTAATAACCTTATTAATATACATATTTTTCTTCCAAGAATACACTATGGGAATGTCGAAATCCAAAATGGTTAGAATAGAATCAGGGAACTTCTTTGAATTGAATCGGCAGCCATGTTTGTCGTTACAATTAGAGGGAGCTTAATCATTCCATATTTGGAATTCACATTTTCTAATATGGTAGGATGAAAATACCCTGTAAAATACCGCAAATTTACAGGACGCTGTAACTTATGGCGGTGAAAGATGTATAACAAAGCATATTACCGGTACATTAAACAATGTTTTATCAGAACCTGAGGGTGCACTTCTTGTAACACATGTCTGAGTACTCGTTCAATGATGCACTGACATTTTCTAATACACATGTGCACTGGTAGTTTTTGTATGTACATTCACTGCACATGTATAATAGTGTGGATTACTTTATTTTCGCTAGAATTAATTTTCGCTGAAAAGGCTTTTTGGGCGTTTTGTATGGAATTTATTTTCACTGATTTTTGATGAGTTTAATGTGAAATATAAGAAAAAAAAGGATATTCGCTAATTTTTATTTTTACGGAATCATCCCTTCAGCGAAAATAAATTCCAAGCCAAAAAAATAAAGTATTCTACAGTAGTGGATTTGATTTTTCATCAAACAGTTTTAGTTTATGGAAATTCAAAGCCTGATTTGATCTAAGTACGGAATATTGAACAGCAATAATAAAAAAATATATGTTTTTGTCCATATTGCATCTTTAACTTACATAAGTGATTACTAAGAAATGGATTTACATATAAGCATAAGCATATTGATTCTTGGATTTCGTAGATCAGAAAAGATGCTTGTGGTATTGATGGGGAAAATCAACAATTTTTAAAAAAAAAATCATACGAGACTTTTTGATGATGCAGCTCCAATCTTGTCTGTTATTTCTTCTATTTCAGTATTCAATGAAAAATGATCTGTTCCAACAAATCTCATTTTAAAAATAAAAAAAAAATGTGCTCCCAACAATCCATCCCAATAAGAATGCGTTTCTGGAGAATGGACTGATTGCTTGATTTATGAGTTTCCAGTTTACAGATGGTTTAGTTTAGACTAAAAAAATATTTGATTTAAACAGATTTAGATGGAGTTAAACTGGTTACAACAGGTTTCTTTTTTACAAAGCATGTTTGAACTGGTTTAAACAGGTTTACAGTTACAGAGCATGTTTAAACTGGTTAAAACATGTTTTCAGATTACGCAGCAGGTTTAAACTGGTTTAACAGGTTTACAGTTTACGCAGCAGTTTTAAACTGGTTTAAACATGTTTACGTACAGTTTACACAACAGGTTTAATCAGGTTTACTGCACACCCAATTCACATGCATAGTCAAATCATCCACCAATCCACCTTGACATTTAATGAAACAAGACTAAACTTGATAAATACAAATCATAATCTGGCGTCTACTACAATAAATGTAGTAATATAGTATATACATAATGTAGGACTAGATTCTTCTTGTGCTTTTCACACTCAACAGCTTTAGATTTCCACAGCTGTGTAGTCAGTGGATTGATATTACTTAAGTAAAGACCACTTGATCTGTTCCTTGGCAGACTGGAGAACCTGTAAAGATAAGATATCAGAATTAGTGTTGTGCGGCAAAAGTTTTAAGTTGCATTCACAATTCACAAATATGTGAGAAACAATTTCCTGACCAATATGAATGTTAAATTTTGACATTTTTTACTGGTAACGAGAAATTACCGACAGAATTTAAGCAGGTTCTTTAATTTAAGCAATGTATTTTTTTGTACTTTAAGGTCAGTTACATTGTATGTGTGTTTTTCCCATGGCATAAGACCCTCAAGAATTCTCAAAATAAAAGATGTGAAAAAATCATAAAATAACTACTTTTTAACATTTCATTTGTTTTCGCAAAAACAACATTACACTTTTCAGCTCATACTGGGCATCATGTTGTTTTGCATTTTCGCAAAGTCTGAATGCAACATTAAAAAGACGAGTTGCTATGTGTTCCATGTTTGTCACACGTGACATGTAAATGTTAAATATAAACACCGATCTTCAATTCCTTCAACAGGAAGGTCAGTGACATCGTTTAAGTTTACATTTTTCCCAACCATCACACTCATGCAAGCTGAAAAATGTCATGCACCGATCAGTTCTAGCCCAC